GGGGGGTTAACGGTTACGGGTGGGTGTGAAGGAAAAATAGGAGTCCACAACTTCAATCTTACGTTGCCACGGCATATGGCCATTTCACAACTGATCTAACCTTGAATTCATGCTGAAATGACTAACAATCTACCATTATTATTTATGTGACACTATTTTCGTCCGTCTAGAAGGAACAACACCTTTTTATATCTGAAACAGTTTAATCTACACTTCCTAGTTTACCCTTAATGACATGATTTTATAGCCACATAAATGTCATCGCATGTTTAAAACGACAAGTTCCAAAAGTCTTTCTTTTCCTTCTTAAACTCGGTGCCCAGTTAAAAAGGTTCACATAATATCATATGAAACGGAGTAGTTTAATTGCATCGCTGGCACTTAAAAACTCAATAGAGCAGCCAACTAGTATAGTTGAATAGAAAGGTCAAATAAAACTGATTTACCTCTTCAGCAAATTTAATCAAAATTGTTGTCCGCGGTCGCTGCTGCCCCTCCACAGGGACGAAATGAGCTGTCACAACCGCTGGGAAACCTGCATTTTCCAGAACTCCCTTCAAGAAGAAAAAGAAAATAAATGATAGCTCTCTGGAATGGGAGATGAAGCGAAGGCAATAATGTTCTTACCCTTACAATACCCGCAACAAAAGCTCCGCAATTGAATGCACCCATATCTTTTGGTATTGAAATGAATCTAAAATGCAAATGCATATTAAAAAACTGATATATTAGAGTTGGTCCAGCAAGTAGATAAATTGGAAGCATTTATAATGGGTTCAGTAAAAATCACCTGTTGACAAGGAGCTCCTTCTCACTAATCATATATTCATCTTCATGCTCAGTTCCTTTCTCAAGCGAGTCAGCAACCTGGTATACAAAAGCTAAACTGTTTCACCTAATCCAAACCTCCAACAATTCATCGGCATAATAACTTGGATACGGTAAGTAAAAGTTAGGCTAGAGGAGCTTGATTCCAAAAGCAATGATGCCACTCAATCAAACGGAGCAGGCCATTAAGGAAACAACCTAGAAAAGCTAGAACAACGTCAGAGAATTTGCTGAAAGGAAAATTTGATTACAAATTTTAGGTCGGTCATAAGATTATCTTGCAAGGAAACTATAAAAGGGCATTCTGGTGCACAAGGCATCCCGCGTTAACGCGGGGTCCGGGGAAGAGCCGCACCACAATGGGTCTGATGTAGACAACCTAACATAATGCAAGCATTAGTGGTAGCTTCCACGGCTCGAATCCGTGACCTATAGGTCATACGGAGACAACTATGGATAACTTAAACAAAAGACAAAGAGACTAATCACAATCACAGGGGCCTATATTCTAAGAGACTCAACTAAGTATTACTATAAGAAATTATTCTAAACAGTAAAGGTTGTTCTGGAAAAGAAAGATTAAAATGTTGTGTTAGTGGGCGAGGTAGGGAGCCTTTGAACCTATACATTCACAAAGGAAAGGCACTTGCTTCTAATCAACAAGCAAATATTTCTGATACCAAATCTGTGCTTTAAATAAAACGGCATATTTCCTGTAATGAGGAAGTAGAAGAGATAACATCAAGCAGCATATCTCCTCTTTTCATTTTCTTTCCTCTCCCCAACTTGTTTGGAACTGAGGCGGAGTAGTAGTTGTTGTTGTCCATTTTCTTTCCTCTTCTTCCACCCAAACCAAGCATAACGAAAATCTTCCATTCCCTTCCCTATTTTCTAGAAAGAAGTTCGTATCAAGAAGCATCCATTGACTGAGAAAGGATGCATGCACACAACCTCCAAGTTGAAATTCTCCCACAGTAAGAGGATTCATAAAGCCGGCCCCAACTCGTCTAGGATGGAGGCATAGTTGCCTAATTTATATAATGACAAAAGTATTAGTCCTTCAGTTTAGTTTCAAGATTTCTAATATCTCCTTGTAAGCTCAATGCTGGACATTTATTAGTTCCACGCAAGAATGACATAGACCTGTGATTGCTCCATAAATAGCGACCCATAGCTCCAACCACATTTTCACACATGATAAATATGTTGCCCCAAAAAGGCACTTAATTTAAGGTCACTGGAAAACAATTATTATCAAATATCAACTCCATTATGCTTCCTTATAAAGAAGTTTTTCTTTGTTGTGACTTCACTCATGTGAAATCTCTCTCACAGTCTACTGATGTATCCTAGTTAAAAGCTCCATTGCATACTGAAGTACCACAGAGCACCATATCCACAAAGCCTATTGACATTCCATGTAACAGAACTAGAATGAAGAAAACGCAATGTTCACATGCTATGTGTAGCACATCCGAAGCAGTTGAGAAAGTGGTAAAACATAGACTGAAGGTTTCCATGCTTGCTACTAATTGAGTTACTGGAAAAAACATGCATAAAGAAAGAGCGCTTGCTCCCAGAAGTATAAGAACTCAATCTTGTCAAAATGATCATTTTTTCTCCTTTCGTACTGAAAAGGTTTCCAGACATCCTCCCCCCCCCCCCCCCGCGCTACTGCCTAAAACCAAACATAAACACAAACATGAATAAAACTAAAGAAAGCTTAAGCACAATCCCCCCCAGAATAAAACAAATTAGTAAATTCAAAAAGAGATGAGAAAGTCTTTCAAGCAAAAAAGGGGAAGACAAAAAGAAGAAAAAGAAGTTGACCTTCCCAAACAAAACCTTCCATACTGTGCTGTGCACAAACGAGAGTATACCCAGTAGTCGTGTCTCCCTTCTGTTTCCCTGCAGCATTATGAAGAAATTAGAACAATTACTGTGTCCACTTTGAAAATAAAGCTAGTCACAACGTACTACAAATGGCCATCATAATTTTCTTGTTCAAACAATAGAAAGTAACTTTATCTAATTTGATGTAATATTGCATTCTTCACCTAGTAAAGCAGCAGCGAAAGCAGCAATAGAGCTAGTTCCTCTCCCGGTCTATTCTTGGTTTTGTCCAAATTCTGAACTTTTTATTGGGGAATGAGTTAGGATAAGGATGTGGCTTAGTGAACAGGTAGTCATCATATTCTCCTCTAAGAGTTTCCCCAGTCTAAAGTGTCAAAAACGATAATGGTCGAAAAACATGTCTTCCCGTATCAGGAACAAGTTCATGTCAAAAACATAATTAGTTCAACATTACTATAAGTAAATATGCTTGTGTAGATTTCCATGTAATGGACACATATTAAATGGAAATAACTGGCCCAGATAATTATCTGCTAGTCAAGGTTTACTGGTTTGACAACGGATAGCTAGAAATTAGCATCCAGACATGGAGTTGCTCTAGGTGAAGAAGTTAAAAGCAGAATATCAGGGTGGGAATTGCAATTTAAGTCATACCTTTTCTCTATGGCAGAGGAGTTCCAAAATCCGTGCTCCAACAGCATATCCAGCATCCTCTAACCTATTTTCCAGAAAATCATTAAAATCCACAAGAATGCATTGACAAATGCAGTAAGAAATCTGTGGCTACGGAAAAATCTTAATACAAAGACTATTTCAAACTTAAAAGGGTAGAAAATATTAAGCTCAAGTTCCTGAATTCTTATCATTTGGTACTTTAAACAATTATACTGATATTCAACCTTCCTTTCTTAATCCCCAACAGTTCAATGTGCAAGTACGAGGTGTCAGCAATAATAGTAATTTTGTACCCAACATTGTGGCCTAGTGACCTAGTGGACAGAGTTACCCAATACCTATGCTGGTAGGGGGTACCAAGAACCTGAAGGAATTATTTCACTGTGTGCAAGCTGACTTGGACACTACAATCATAAGAAACATAGCCATTTATTTTCCTTTTATAAGGAAAGGTTTCACGAAAATGGATGTAAAAGCATCAAGTATCAACACGGCATACAACCAGTTAAAATACCTAATCCTCACCTCCATGTGATCCTTCCTTTCATTTGATACTAATTACTAACAACATGGGATGCTTTTAATCTTCTTTACTATTTTTCTTTCTTTACATTGACATGATACCATGGAGATGACTCTTAAGCATTTAGAAGATACAATGCGAGTAAGAACCACAAACAACATCTCCATATCTAGAGCAACATTAATGTAGATGATCAATCAATCAACTAAGCCTCCAATCCAAAATAGTTATGCTATGCATCCTCCATAACCATTTCGCCCTCGTATCATCCCAATACTAGAGGTTCTCTAAGTTTCACATAATTACAAGTCTCTAATCTCTATCCCTCTAATTTCTTGTTCTTCTTTTTTTCTTTATGACGCTACGCGCACGACTATTCCACCGAGTACCGACTTCCTCCAATCAACCCGCCAAGGCTTGGACAGATGCGAAGAAATCACCTAGTTTTATTTTTTTTGCCTCACTTTCAATCTAATTTCAGCAAGACAAGGGCCAACAATAAACAAAAAGAGGAAAGTTCTTGAAAATGGGGGAATGAGAAATCACCTTCGCTCTAATTCAGTAATGTTGTCCACTTGGGTCTGATTGTACTGAACAAGCTCGGAAAACAAGAATGCAAAACCACTCAAACTGACCTGCAAAAGGACCTCTATCACTAGTCTGCAAAGTATATCTTCCCCTTTAGCCAGTGGCAAAACTAAAAGTTCTTTTAAAGGATTTCAAAAAAAAAATACAAGAATGCAATACTTACTTGGACCTGTGATCTAAAGTAATATAATTGCACAAAAAAAAGGGCAGCCCGGTGCACTAAGCTCCAGCTATGCACGGGTCGGACCACAAGGGTATATCGTACGCAGCCTTACCCTGCATCTCTGCAAGAGGCTGTTTCCGCGACTTGAACCCGTGACTCCTGGTCACATGGCAGCAACTTTACCAGTTACACCAAGGCTCCCCTTCGAAAGTAATACAATTGCATTAAGTATAATTTTTCGTTATGCTAAGGGGATTCAATTATTTAAATACAAGCAAAAAAAAACACACAATTTTCAATTTGCATAGTATAATTATCTGACAAAGGGGATTCAATTGAACCCGCTAGCTCCGCCCTGCCTTTAGCTAGGAGGGGTTTAAGGGTTGAAACTCATTTGGAATTGGTAATATAGGTCTAAGTTAATAAGGTCTATAACGAAAAAAGAACCCCTTTTTGTTCTTTGAACTGCTTAATGGATTATTAGAGAATATAATTGAGTTAATTAATGATATAAAGATGTAAAGTTGAAAAGAGAAAGAAGAAGTTACCTCTTGTTTGCCCTTACTGAGGGGTCTTTCTAAGACATTTGTGTACTGCTTCATCTTCCCTACTCCGATCATTTTCTTGCTTCGACTCTTCCCAGATCGGTAAGCTCTGTATAGTGTGTTTACTGTTCTTTAGGCACTCAGATTTCGTTATTCATTAGAAAATTGGAAAGGAAGATCGAAGAAGAATTACAATATTGGTCCTTATGTTCGGGGTAGCTCTAAAATAGTTCCTTGAAATATTTTCTGAGTGGTTTTGGTCCTTTACATTTGTCAAAAAATAGCACTTTGGTTTATGTTTAACCAAAAAATAGTAATTTCGGTCAAAGCTTTATTTTAGAAGAACACGGGTTACTGATAATCAATATATAAAATGAATTAAAGAAATTGGCTTTGATAACAATAAGATGAACAGAAGAAAACAAAGTAATCAGTATATTCCAATGATATTTTGTGTCCTTACAAATGATCAGTATTCTCCTTTTTATAGCTATTTCTCAGATATACGTTTTGTCTTTGTCATAATAAGGCCATTATAGATAATTAAAGGCATTTAGTGTTACGTTACAATGACAATCATTATAATTAAATACAGATTTTCTAACGTTTTCAGTATTTAATGCTCATTAAATATTGTATCCGTACTCTCTTGTGCTGTCAGATTCATTCTCCTTAATTTTTGGACTTAAATAGGTACGAGCACCGAGTCTTTTGATTATCTGCTCGTGTCTCTGCTCGTACCTCTGCTCGTATCTGTTGCAACTCGTGCCTCTTTGCTAAGCATCATTCTTTGACCAGCTTACATGTCATGACATGTCATCTTTCAATTACTTCAATATATATAAACTTAATTTTTCCCAATACAGATAGTCCCCCCACTTGCCATTTATTCATCAATTGAATATGTTGAAAGTGGACTTTATTAAAGCGGAAATATTTGCCGCCATTATTCTCTTATGGAATCGACGCTTCATTTGTCACTTCCATTTAATGCCTATTACACGTGGCATCTTTTTATTGGTTCTGCGACCTTGCAGCGTCTTTTAAGGCCTTTTTACGGCTTCACCAATTACGAAGCGACAGTTCTCATTATGACTTTTCCATCATTGCACCTTTTCCTTTGACGGTTGCTTCTAGGTATAAATATAGTTTTCACCTTTGTCTTTTCAATTCTTGTTTGCTTCTTCCTCGTACTATCATGTCTTCATCAAACCCTAACCCTAGGAGAGTCCCCATAGTTGATAACTTTCCTCCTGCCCCAGGTAGGAGCAGAAGAGGAGGTAGACTACGTAATTTAGGGTCTTCATCCATACGTGGTTCTTCTCTTCCTTCATCTAGTTTCAGTCCCTCTTCTAGAACCAGAGGTTCTCTTTCTCAAAGGTCTTCTTCCAGAGGTAAGGAACCTTCTGAACCTCTTCGTGAACTTTTAGTAGAGGAAATAGTTCCTGTGGAACTATCTTTCTACAATGATAGAGAATCCCTTAGAAACCAAGTGTCCTCTTTAGATCGTGCTGATATCTACCCAACTCAGATCATTGAAGTGCTGATATCTAACACCTGAGATTTTATCGCGGTTCTGGGCTGGTATGTGATGTCATATTCACTTAACTTTATAGCCCATTTGGCTAACCTACCTGACAACTCATGCTTGTGTAATATATTGCGTAATGGATAAGCAGTTACTACGGTAATAGGATGACATTGAAAATAAGGCTTTAGTTTCCTAGATGCCATGATTAGTGCAAGTGCAAGCTTTTCTAATTGAGGATACCGCGTCTCCGCATCTAATAATGATTTGCTGACATAATAAATTGGAGATTGTTTACCTTGGTCTTCACGAACTAAAACAACACTCACCGCTACTTCTGAGACAGCCAGATAGATGAGCAATCTTTCCCCAACCTTTGATTTTGCGAGCAACGGTGGATTTGACAGGCATGTCTTCAAGTTTTTGACTGCTTGTTGACACTCCTCAGTCCATTCGAACTGGTCTTGCTTTTTAAGAGCTGAAAAGACTTTAAAACGTTTTTCTGATGATTTGGAAATAAATCTTCCCAAAGCTGCAATTCTCCCCGTTAGTCTTTGCACGTCTTTCTTATTTGTAAGCATGTCAGAAATTTCTTCAATGACTTTAATCTGCGCGGGATTTACTTCAATACCATGGTTAGAAACAAGAAAACCTAAAAACTTACCTGATGAAACACCAAACGCACATTTCTCGGGATTTAGTTTCATATTGAATTTTCGTAAAATCTGAAACGTATCAATTAAATGGGATATATGATCTCTTGATTGTTGAGATTTGACAAGCATATCATCTATATAGACTTCCATAGTTTTTCCCAAATGTTCTTGGAACATTTTGGTTACCAATCTTTGATACGTTGCACCAGCATTTTTGAGACCAAAAGGCATTACCTTATAACAGTAAGTCTCCCTGTCTTTGATAAATAAAGTTTTTTCTTCATCTAGGGGATCCATTTTGATCTGATTGTACCCGGAATACGCAACTAAAAAGCTTAATAACTCATGTCCGGCTGTCACGACCCAAACCCCGCTCCGGTCGTTATGGCACCTCTCGTGAAGACAAGGCCAGCCAGACCATTACCGAACACCTCTCTTAAGAAATTAAATAGTTCATAAGCAGTTTAAATATGATTTAATGACATTAATTAGCGGAAGTACAACCCAACACAGCCCTAATCGGGGCGTCACAAGTCACGAGCATCTATTAGAGTGTAAATACAACTACAAGGTCTAAAAGTACACGAAACATGAATAATGAACAAAAGAGAGAAAAACGATGCTGCGAACGCTGGCAATCACCTCGCTAAACCCTATATCTCAGCCTCCGATCAGCCAAAACCCGCTACCGGGTGAATAAATACCTGCATCTGCACACGAAGTGCAGGGAGTAAAGTGAGTACTCCAACTCAGTGAGTAATAAAGGTAAATAATAACTGAGCAGTAATCACACAAGGCAAACCATCATGTTGTACAGAGCAGTGTAAAACCTTTTGAGAAAAAAAAACAATGAAGCTGTGAAATCTTTAGAGATATCTTAGCTCAGTTTAAACCTCTTTTGAAAATGACTTCTTCAACGATTATGCAGTGATTGCAAAACAGTTAGTGCCGATAAGCACAGAAAATACGCCCCTCGGGCACAAATACCACGGTATAATAGGTAAAATGACAAGTAAATATGAAAGATGAACACATAAAAGTTCGCCCCTCGGGCAATATCTCAGAACAGTACCAGCCCCTCGGGCTACCTCACCATCACTCGTATCAGCCCCTCGGGCTCACTCTCAGAATAGTATCAGCCCCTCGGGCTACCTCACAGTCACTCGTTCAGCCCCTCGGGCTCACTCTCAGAACAATGGGTACCCGTGCTCACTGTGGGTGTGCAGACTCCGGAGGGGCCCCTTACGGCCCAAGCGCTATATCAAGCCACCTCGTGGAATCATCACTCGGCACTCGGCCTCACATCACTCAACCACCTCGTGGCATATAAATGTATCTCAGGCCCTCGGCCTCATATCACTCGGTGTATCCTCACATATGGCCCTCGGCCGCACTCAGTCAGATATCATCACAAGCCCCTCGGGCATTAGTAAAACAGTAGTTCTCAGCTCAAAACATCATTTAGAAATATCAATTAAGTTTCAAATCTGACTAAAAGGTGGCTGAGTTTGTAAAACAGTAGATACCAACAAGACTGAGTTCAAGCAATAAGTTGAAACAGTGAGGAAATAGTGATAAAAATCCCCGAAGGGTTCAAATAATTGGCACGAAGCCCAAATATGGCAATCAGTCCAAATTATGATGATAACAAACACGTTTCAGTCAAATACGCGGTAAAATCATCAATCGGGACGGACCAAGTCACAATCTCCAACGGTGCTCTACCCCACGCTCGCTATCCGGCGTGTAAGTCACCTCAACATAGCACTACGATGTGCAATCCGGGGTTTCAAACCCTCACGATATCATTTACAATCATTACTCACCTCGAACCGGCAAAATCTCTAGCTCGCGATGCCTTTGCTCCTCAAATCGGCCTCCACGCGCGTCGAATCTATCCAAAATCAGAATGAATACATCACAATATGCTAAGGGAACAAAGCCCAAGCGAAAATAATCGAGAAATATCAAAAATCCCGAAATTAGCAAAACCCGAGCTCCGGGCCCACTTCTCGAAACTCAGAAATTTTTACATCAACAGGTTCCTTATCTCGCCACGAATCCATACATACCAAAAACTCTCAAATCCGACCTCAAATGGCCCTTCAAATTCCAATTTAAAATTTCAAAAACCCAAGCCCTATTTCTTCCCTTTTTAGTTAAATTCCCATGAATTTCTAAGTTAATTCCACAAATAAATCACGTTTTTGGTTCATAGAACTTACCTCCAATCAATCCTCCTTGAATTCCTCTTAAATTTCCCCCAAAGAGCTCTCAAAATGTTCAACAATTGTGGAAAAATGACTTAAGCTCGCGGAATAAAATGTTTTAAACCTTCTGCCCAGCTACAGGACTTTCTTCTATGCGATCGCGGCCCCAGGCTCGTGATCGCGAAGAGCAAACTTTCCAAGCCTCAAAAATGGTCTATGCGAACGCGACCAATCGACTGCGAACGCGAAGGTCCAACCTTCACAACTATGCGAACGCGTCCACTCTTTGCGAATGCGAAGAAGAAACTTACCTGGGCTCCAAGGCCTTATACGCGAACGCGAACTACTGAATGCGAACGCGAAGCCTCGCCCTCTGACTCATTGCGGTTGCGAACGCCCAAACGCATACGCGATGAACAAATCTCAGGCCTCCCAAATTCCTTCTATGCGAACGCGGGGGACCTCCCGCGATCGCGAAGGTCAAAATTACATTTCTACATTTTTTCCCAAGTCCAAAACTTCCCGTTAGCCATCCGAAATCACCCCGAGGCCCCCAGGACCTCAACCAAAAGCACCAACGCATCCTAAAACATCATTCAAACTTGTTCCAATCATCAAAATATCTCCAACAACACCAAAACCATTAAATTACATCGAATTCAAGCCTAAGTTCTTCTAAAACATCCGAAATGCTCTTTCGATCAAAAACCCGACCAAACGACATCCGAATGACCCAAAATTTTGCACACACATCACAAATGACA